GTCATCGTTTCGTGTTCTGACTTTTCTCAAGGCCGTTTGACAAGTTGCTAAAGGAAACGGAGGAGGCGAAAGAAGATATTGAGCGGGCTTTGGACGCCATGACGCAGGTCGACCCGCCAACTCAGGATGACCAGTGGGTTTCCATCTCAGAGTTGGCCAGTCCGTGCCGTCTGTTAATACGACACTTCATAGACTGTTGATAGCAAAGTTATGTTTGCTCGCAAGTCGTTGTGTGTATCTGCAGTATGTCGTCGTCGATCTCCCCAACCTCGCTCTAAAGTATACTCAGAAACGCCCCGCTCCCAAAGGACGCTCAAGACTGTGAAATGTTCCCCGACGTTCGTATCCCCAATATAATTGGAGACTATGGCGGTGCGATCGCGAAAATTGCGAGCCGTTGGGGTATGTCTTATTTTCCTATCACTGGAGCCGAAGTGCGTGCATCTATCTACGGTAAAGCACCGAACTGTCCTCACCGCTAGCAGGGCAAAACCGGCCTCGACATTCCGTATATTGGCCTCTTCTACCGCTTCAAAACTGATGAGCAAAAGCCTCTTCTGATCTTCGCATTTCGGGTGAGTTCGTTCCTTCGTCGATTCCCCCCATTGAGACTCGCACAGGGCACTGTCACTGAGAAAGAATGGTGTGTTATGCACAGCATTATGTACAAGAGCTGACTCTTGAACAGGATTCGCGACTACCGAATCCTCCCGAAGCTATCGTACGATTACTGGTTCGGCTCTGAAGTCCATAGTGTAAGTTTGGGGCATGCATATTCTCAGGCTCACCGCGTAACAGGGCTTTTCTACTGGCTTGGTCGAAGCTATGCGTGCGTGTCGAGAACTTCATGCGTTGATCATATGCTCACCAACCAACTTATGTAGCCTGGATCCGTAACTTCGTGCGCGCATTCGCGAATAAGGATCCCAACACCCCCGTCTACTTCACTGGTCATAGTCTCGGTGGTGCTTATGCTACTCTCCTTGGTGCGCACTCCCTCTCCCTCGTGGCAGTCTGCATCTTACCCCGCACAGCCGCTAATCTTCTCGTCAACCCAAAACTCCCCGAAGGACCCAAGCGCAAACTCCCCGCCGGGGCTCCCGCCATCACTTTCAAAGGCCTGTATACATTCGGTTCTCCTAGGGTCGGGAACAGGATATTTTCAAAGTCGTTCGAGGACGCGAGGGCGGAGTATCCGACTGGTAAACCGGACATACTGCGATTCGTCGATGGTGACGATATCGTGACCAAGATGCCGCCTGCATCTTTGGGCTACAGGCATGTGGGCCTGCGAGTTCCTATTTCAAAGGCCCCTCCCGCGAACATCCTCAAGAGAATCTATAAACGTGTGTCTAAGTTGAATTACATCACGGATCACTGTGAGTTTCGTTTTGTTTTCTCCTTTTTTTGCTCGTTGTTCCCCACTGACTGTGTCTTAGTCGACGCATCCTACTGGCAGGCCCTTGAAGACACAATAAGCGGGAGGAAGTGAACGTGGCTACAACCTTCCAAGTGAGTCACGTTTCGCTGTGGCGTTCTGGGCGTCAGTAACTTCTTCGCTCAGCCCACCATCAGCTCGCTAACTCTCATAGACGAATTCCACCTTTTGTATCGCCTCGCTCGCAGAAACCTTTTGGACAGATTTCCCCGTCTTGTACTCTCAAATACGTACTGGTCGTTCCTAGCTCTTACAGCCCAGCTAGATCAATATCTTGACCAATTCTTGAAGGACTGAAAAAGGAATGCGACAGAATGTTGTATCTCTATAGCTCAAGTACTGCCAAGATAACATTTGTTCGGGGTCGGGAGTTATTCACGATCCCATTGTTATTCAACTTCAGCAGTTAACACTGAGAGAAATCGAATTTTCGTCCCTGACTCCCCAGATTTACGACAACGCCTGGAGGATGGTCCGCACTTGGCTCAATACGGTGATCTTCTCTTTCAGTGACCGCTCGTTCGATTCGATCCCGGGCCGTGGGTTGGATTGATTCCATGCATGTGCATGTTTTTTTTTTTTTTTTTTTTTTTTTGATATTTCGCTGATCCGCACCTGCAGAGACAGTTGCGCATTAAGAATGCTACGCGTGAACCGCTGAGGTGAATCCGGCCCGCGCTTCTCACTTTCTCCATCCATTCATTGTCTTCGAGCCATTAACACAAGCTCCTTTGATTCTCCCTTTTTTTCACGCTCAATAGGGGAAGTCAGAGTACTCGATTCTGGATCGATTCTGGCTCGATTCGGACGTCGATTCTGATTCGATTCTGAGTCGAGAATCGATCCAGAATCGACCGCAAACTTTGACCGCCCCGATTCTCCTTTCGATTCCCTGTCGATTCTCCCGGTGCCTATGCTCACTTAATTATTTGCTGGCGGCACTTATATCAAATTATACGCCCCCTCGAGCTCTCACTGTGCACGCCCGCCCTCATGCCTCGCCTGTCATCGCGCCAGATGAGGACACAACATATCCTTCAGGCCTATTTGAGTTTCCATTCTACACGACTCAGGACCAGGGAGCAGCAGAGTAGGATGTGGTACGCAGGAATGAGGAGATAAAATACTACGAAGAATGAATACTTATGTAATAATATATGAATCAAGGGGCATAAACAAAGTCGATTCTCAAGTCGATTCTGAAGTCGATTCTGAGGTGTTCCGACTCCAGAGTCGGAACATCGATTCTGTGGAATCGATTCTGGGATCGATTCTGGGTTCGATTCTTGATCAGAATCGACTTCCGAATCGAGCCCAGAATCGATCCGGAATCGAGTACTCTGACTTCCCCTAATGCCCGTCGTTTCGAAGAAACTTGGAACAGAACGTCTCTAGGGTATCGTTGCCACTCCGCTCGGAATCCAGGAGCTTGTGGACCACTGTATCGTCCTCCTTCGCACTTCGGAGCCATTTCTTCCTGGCCCATACAGCCCAAAGAGATGGTGTTGATTTCTGAAGTCTGGCTGCGTCGGATAAAACCCCGATGGTTAGAAAGGTAGCAACTAATTGTGCGTATGTAAATTGATCGGGTTTATCAGAGGCGCGCAAGAGAGGATCGGGCTGGTGTCATCTTGGCTTTTTTCATATTTTCCACCCCTCGCAGTTGCTCCAACGCGGACTGATGGAACGCGAGTCGTACGCGACGTCCGCACTTCCGAGTTACGGTTTAGACAAAGAACAGGTGCCGGCGACCCTTATGCATATGCATTGCTCTCGCAAAGGCGTCCTTTCAGAAGTTGTCTAGCAGTACAAACTAAGTGTGTGCGCAGGACCTGCGTGGAATACACCTTCGACCGGAGGTGCGTTGTGCGTCGATGAGGTGCGAAGGCGTCAGAGGTCACAGCCAATCGACCGTGCTGTGTGAACTACACCGCCTGGTAATTAAATGCTGAATCGAGCTACAAGTATGTGAGCGCTCGAATTCGGCTAGAGCTGTTGAACCGCCACAAATATACCACCGGGGACTTCGGACCGTGCAGGAAAATACTGACCTCGATGATGGAGGCTGTAGGAGACCTGTTGCAGATCGAAGCTCCCTCGTCTTGTGAACAAGCAGAAAGACTTCGCACACCCCATGCGCAGACCACATCCCTCAGATGACATGTCGCAACAGGCAATCTAGTTACAAGGGGGGGCATATCCGAGTCGTTCTAGTCAGTAATCCGATTGTATATGGCCGCATGCTCTTCCACCATTTCATGCCTCCCGTATCCCTGCCAATTTTACGGATTTCAGATCATGCGTACAAGAAGCTAGCAACTCAAATGTACATGACTCATTTTCCTGGTTGCGTGGAGTTCCTAGATAGACGATCTGCGCCGACGACAGTGGTTCCAACACGCCACGAATGAGAGAAACAAGACGGCCACGATTGAGGTGACCACTCCGCCCGTGAGGCCTGGACGATTCCCGGCGGAGTCCAGAAACGTGTCCTACACACAAAAGTCTCCAGTCAGCGGCATGACTTTCGGTGGCCCTGATAGGCGAATGAATACCTCGAAGCTGGCATCGAATCGCACATCAGCTCGTCCGCCTAGCCTGAGAATCGGCATTGTATGAGCCCAGAGTGGTGGGAGACCAATCAGGAGAACGGCGAGTACCCGTTCACTTGCTGGATTATGGGGAAGCTGAGCAGAAGTCGCCGTTAGCTGAATATATAGGCTGGAACGGTGATCAAAGGCTGGACCTGCTGAATAACCAGTGCTCCCATGATCATTCACAAATCACGACATTAGCAGATAGCCGCCAATTCTGGAGTGCTCAAGCTTAAAATTCTACAGCATTGGTACCGGAAGGAGGGTTCCTGATCTGTAGGAGCTGTAATGGTAGTAAGATGAACTGCGCATCCTTATCTTTATCGCGAATGAGAATGTGGAGGCGGCACACACTCCTGCAGCAATAGAAACGAGACTTTAGGTAGAGAAACATCTAATAATTGATATCCTCACGATCCGATTTCCTGATTGGCCGTCGGCGAAGGAAGTCGTAGTATTCGGAATGCCGCAGGTTTCGACCTCATCAGGGGAGCCACAGCTCTGAGATGACCCGAAGCAGCCCACGAATCGTGGTGTGAGATACACAGCCCGTCATGACATCCCAAGTGGGACCCGTCATGAGGGTCTGGGCCTAAAGAGCTGGACATGTGCGTCTTGATTTTTAACTTTTTTTGAGGTCCTGTTTGAGCACTTTCCGATCCCATGTCGGACTATGAGAGGGAGTTTGAATATGAATCATTCAAAAGGCTCTAAATATTTTCGGATTTACCTCCAGATTATGGCGTAGTATGCATCTCGTAATTTTGGGGTTCCTGGCTTTGGCTGTGAAGGCGGGCGTATGACCCAAATTGGGATGTCATGAGGAGCTGTGTAGAGGACTAAACATGGACGTGTGCTGACGATGAACGAGAAGCAAAAGCAGTGCCGATCGTGATTCCCGGGTCTGATGCGACCTGCCTAATTAGGAAACCGCCTGAACCAAAGAAGATGAAACGAACAAAAACATATGACCCCTGCCCGGATCGAACGGACGGCCTTCGCGATACTGAGAAGAAACTGGAATGCGACGCTCTACCACTGAGCCAAGGGGTCGGCGTCTCTCCACACAATCGAACTCATTCGATCCAGCGGTACAGACACAGTGCTTACCCACCTCCGGAGATGTGGATCAAAAAGTCCGTAGAAGGGCGAAATAATTAGTACTTGAATAATCAATAAAAAGAGTGGCTCTGGGTCCTGGTTCAAGGGGGGATTATATGGTGGTTGTCGGCATTGACAGTTGAAATGGTCCTCAACCGAATGTTGGCAAAATAAGTTGTCAGCTGTTGTTGAAAAAAAAGAAAGATGTCAACCAAAACCCTGTTTCCCGGCCAAAGTTGTAACGCGGTTGTAACGAATTAATTTTTCATATGTGTATGGCATATATACTGTGCAAAAATTATTTGATGGTAACATCTGGAAACAGGGTTTTTGGTCGCATCTCAATCCATTCTGCAAAATGCTTACAAGTTCACCAAATTGTTGCAACTGATTTTACAGAGGTTGCAACCCATGGGTTTTGCACCTCTCTGACTTCGCAACCATAAACATGCCGAACCTCATCAGAACTGATGGGAGCCTAGAATTCAAACTCCGACGCCATCCATAAAAGGAATTTTGCCGCTGTAGAGAAATTGGTTGGTTGAACGGATGTTATGCCCCTCAACCACTCAACTGAGTTACAGTGCTTGAACTACGCTATAATCAATTAGTAAATGGGTGAGACAATCTAACCCATTACACACATTGAAGATCAATGATTCGGAGTTTTGGGCCCCACCAATCCATGATTTCATGCCGGAGCAAGCCCAACTGTATTTTCACCTGTAAAATGTCTCTTGGAACCATACTGGGGCCACTAGCGGCAGAGGAAGGATGTGAACACAGAATGTTTTGATATCATTCAAGCCAAGCTGATGCCGAGCATCCGGCAATCAGTCCTGATTTGTGAGATGTGAGCTACACCCAGAAGATGCAACCAATTCAAGGTGGTTGCAACCTGGTTGAAGATGTAAGGTGTTTCCAAGTTGTCACCCAACACGGTAGATGGATGTAAGTTGCGAGCAAAAAACCTGCAAAAACAAGCTAATTTTTGCAATATATCGCCCATATATGTGTATGGGCGTATGGCACATATACTGTGCAAAAATCATCTGGCTAACATCACCGTGGAAACAGGGTGTTTTGCCAGTGTTTTGCCTTACATCTTTGAAATGGCAACAGGGTTTTTGCTTGCATCTTCCAAACATAGTTGTGTTCTTTGTAGAGCTTCATAGTTCACTTAGCTGCACTCAGCTGCTTGGAGTGTCTTTGATCTTTTCTGACTCCAAGTAGTCCCTGGGGCAGCGTAACTGATTGGATTGATCGAAACGATGATCCGAATGTTCCGTTGGGATATCAAGAAGGATATTTTATGGTTTTTGAGCCTCAGAGAGCAGAAAACCCTAAATTTGCGCAGTCAAACTACGGTAAATTCCCTTCAGTTTTTACTTGAACCTTGCTGGTAGGTGCTCTAAATGAGTTTTCCAATGATACTGTACCTAGATTATGATGTCCGCGAGACTTCAGCTGAGGCAGAAATGTAAAGCGGCCGACAGAGTACGAATTGATCCCGGGTCGGTGGTTGGGATCTGATCCCAACATTTTGGTGATCAACCCCAAGCTTGCCGAGATGCCACCCACTCACTAAGATGTAAGCCGTTTGAAAATATTGCATCTGAATTGAAGATGTAAACTTTCTGTGAGTTGCCAACCAAGCTAATCTATTGATATGTAAGCTGTCATCAGAAACCCTGTAAACTTGAGCTAATTTTTGCACAGTATATCTATGGGCGATATACTGTCCAAAAATTAGCACTTTTTTACAGGGTTTTTGGAAGCAACTTACAACTGAACCATTGCTTTGGTTGCAACCTCCAGATAGATTACATCTTTGACCTGGGTTGCAACTCACTAGAAAGGGTTGCATCTTCTTTGGAATCGGTCGCATCTCGGCAAACTGTCATTGATTGCAGCATATCACCATCAGACCGGCTGGCGCCAATATCGGTGTTGCCATCAGTGCTGCCATCAATTACTCAGAGCAACAAGACAATTGAAAGTTGGCAAGCAGTTGTAATCTGGGGCCAAAGGTGTTGTAATCATTAGGGTGTAACCCATATGCCGAAGGTGCCAACCACCTGAAAAGAGGTGTAGATGTATTCAGAAAACACTGTTTCCATGTAGAGGTCACCATTTGGGAATTTTTGGACAGTATATGTGCCATATATATCGCCCATATGGGTGTATGGGCGATATACTGTCCAAAAATATGACTTTTCTACAGGGTTTTTACGAGCAACTTACAACCAGTATGATTGGTTGGGTCACAACCGGCGAATAGGATGCATCTTCGAGTTAGGTTACAGCTGAGGTGAAAATGGTTGCATCTCCCTCGAATGGATCACGTCTCGGCAAGACAGAATTGATTGCCAGAGACTGGCATGAAGCCAGCATGCGTGCCATCTCATCAATCTATGTTTGTGCCTCTCCTGTTGCTCTCCTGTGTCCCTCCGTAGAATTCATGTCCTAAGAAAGATGTATTGGTATTCAGGTGGCCTTATGAATGCCTTTAGATATTATTCAGGCATGATCCACCTCAGGACTCCGTGAATGGCCAATATTCAACCATTCAATGCTATGAGGTCTCCTCGCCAGATTGTTCTGACTCCCCATCTCTTTGGGAGCCGTATATAGGTTGTGTCACCGATGATTAAGCAACGAAAGGTCCTGCACTCTTATCTGGCACTCATGAACTGCAGAATGGCTGGCCTTCCATTTCTCAATTCTGTCGGAGTTTCAATATTAGTGTTGGCATCAATTTGAGCCGCGGGACTCAGTGCAACGAGAAACTGTTGAAGTGTGACCCAGCGGTGCACCCATATGTAACCAAATGCCGAGGTGTTTGTGATCTTGGTTGCACAGTTGTCAGCTCACTGAAAGTGGTGTACTTGTACTCGAAAAACACTGTTTCTATGTAGATGTCACCATTCAAGAATTTTTGGACAGTATATGTGCCATATATGTGCATAACAACGCTTTCAGACATTTGATGCTCATGTTGAACACACGGATAACATGTCCCAGGCAATACTGCAAGGTGAGAATGTACACAGATGGAGAAAACTGTATGTATATATCAGGGTTGGTTAGATACTAGACTGGTAGAAAGTGCAAAGGACTCCGGTCACCAACGTCACACAAACCACCAAATCATCACTATTCTCCACCGTTGCATTGCTTAACTCGACAAGAGTCCCATCGAGGCGCACTGCCGCGGCATTTATGAGCCCCACGGTGATTGTCTCCCGCACGTCCCCGGCCTCCCAGAACTCAATGCCCCAGATCACATCGGACTGGCAGAGAGGGGGGTCCCGGTTGAAATAGTGCCCGACGTAATAGGGTACCGCCAGGTTCACAATCATTGTCTCGGTGATGGCTTGCGCGATAAGGCTGATGGTATCTCCGGGGGAGAAGGCGAGCTCCACGTAGTTCTCGACCGTGTACGTGTTTCCCTCCTCGCTGGGGAGGTACTCGTCCCATGCTGCACACAAATTAATACTCAACTGATGGTGGTCGCATGGAAGAACACACCAGTGTACTGTACTATTTCAACCAAGTGTTCACAGCATGTCACCCGTCACCTAAAGTGTTCATATTTTTGGGTGTTCATTCCTCGGCAATCATGGGAAACTTACCATAAATGGTAATCCGGCAAATGCCGGACCGGAAAATTTCACAGTTTTTAGCCTACTTGGGCCGCAAAATCTCGCCGTCACCACATCAAAAGTGTTCAATTCACGACCCTCTGTCACCCGTCACCTGAACACTTGGTTGAAATAGTACAGTACGTGGTCATGCCGTTTTTTATCTCAATGTCCAGGCCCACCTTGAGGGTCACGCTTGTGCATGTGTAGCCGTCAACGGCGACCCAGACGAAAATGAATGCCTCGTTTTCCATCTGTTTTCCCTCGGAATTGACCGCCGGCCGGTGAGGGCCGGTGCTTTATCCTAGTTATCTTACCTCTGTACAATTAATTTTGCCCGCCGAGGCTACCATATCAATTCGGGATTGCTAAGATTAGAGACGGCGATCAGGCGGACGGGGCTTAGTCGTGTCTCCCACACGACCGAAAACCGTTTTATTTCCTTCCGCACAGCTGCAGTAGACGTGCCCCATGGTCGTGCCTATCTTTCCGCCCGATCTGGAGCGTGAGGTATTCGAGACCGCGGCAATACTTCACTTTCGGACAATCCCCACTCTCCTGCTAGTCGCCCACCGCATCTTCATATGGTGATTGCATTCATCTCTGCATGTTTCCTGACCCTGATCGCGAAGCACTGGCAGGATCGAGCCTCTCCTGTACAGAGTTCTTGAACCATCCTCATCTAAACGCCATCCCTCATCGCAATCCATGGACGATATCGTCCGCCGCTTACTGCGTACAAAGCCGGCCAGTTTCTTCGAAACCGGTGTCCGGGATATATTTCTGGGACTGCACTCTGATCTTTCAGAGGAGGAAGTTCACACCTTACTTCGGTCCTGCACGAAAATCGAGTCCTTCGGGGCCATGCGATTGTCGACTCCTGCGTTGCTCCCAATCATGCGACAAATGACTCGACTGCGTAAGCTATCTATCTGTCTCAAAGATCTCTTCGGAGGTTACGACGCAACAAATCTGAAATGCACATTCTTCCGTTCCGTAACACATCTACAATTATTCGACACCACGCAGATATACGCCGCAAAGGGCATATTCTTCGACCTCGAATCACTCCCCGCCCTCACGCACATTTGTTTGGCCGCGCGAGTGCCAGAGGAGTTACTCTGCTGCATTCTAGAACGTTGCCCCCAACTGCAGGTACTGGGCAACCTCTGGACTCAGCAATTCAACCCTTGGCAAGGAGCCTATGAACCCACCGCCGCGTCGGTGGTTGCTCATTACCCCCCGCTTGGTGACTCGCGCTTCGTCGTGGTTGATGTACCCTTCAACTATTGGAAGGTTGGGACGCGT